CACTGCCCCAGACTTAAGAACATAAGAAAACCATGTTGGATCAGGCCAATGGCCCATCCAGTCCAACACTGTGTCACACAGTGGTGAAAACCCAGGGGCTATCAGGAGGTCCAGCAGCAAGGCCAGATATGTGTCAATGACCGATGGCGCTGGTTTATAAAAATGGAGGAAACTTCGTCCTTTGTAGATTCTGATAGATCCTTGGTGCTTCTTGGGAAGACCTTGACAGCAGTATTCACGGACTGTTCTTGTTCCTTCCAGGAAGATCTGTGAGCATTCCGTGCACTGCAGCTGTTAGCAGCAGTGCACAAGTGGAGTGGTCAAATCGGGCCACACAGAAAATTCCTCCTAAGGATATGTACTGCAGGGTGGAAAACCTGGAATTTTCCTTTCTTCGCCAGGCCAGTAAGTGATTGCATTCTTACGTGAACACCCGCAAGGATCACTTCTGCCCATGAGCATTTCAATTCCTTTTTGCCCACCCCCTGCTGTGCCATTATTCCTCCCTGCTGTGCTATTTTTCACAACTGAAATGGATTCAGGGTGCTGTTTGACTCAAGGAACATGACCCACAACATGAAGGGTGATGTGGAGGCTGAACCCATGTGCACTGGGTGAATAATCCAAATGGGACACCAAGCGTGCAGGAATTCGGGGAAAGGACAACTCTCACCTGACAGTTACACAGAATATGGACCCCTCCCTAACCCAACTTGTGTGCTAAGTAGGGTTGCTATAAAAGCATAAGAGAAGCCATGTTTGATCAGGCCAATGGCCCATCCAATCCAACATTCTGTGTCACACAGTGGCCAAAACCCAGGTGCCATCAGAAGGTCTACCAGCGGGGCCACAACTCCAGGAGCCCCCTCACACACTATTAACCCCCCCAAGCACCAAGAAGACAGAGCATCACTGCCCCAGATATAAGAACCTAAGAGAAGCCATGTTGGGTCAGGCCAATGGCCCATCCAATCCAGCATTCTGTGTCACACAGTGGCCAAAACCCAGGTGCCATCAGAAGGTCTGCACCAAACGACATTTTATAACCTCCTGAGAACAATTTCCATTTCATGCCCAGATCTAAAATGTTTATAGCAAGTTATTATCATCAAAATGGTGCAATATAAAGTATATATCCTCTAGCTCTTCCAGTTGGCCTTTCACCAAAGAGCTATAAGGGTATTAGGATAGACTGAATAATAAGTAGAAAACCATCTCGATCTCAGGTAAAAATGTAGGTTCAGTTTGTTCACTCGCCTGGCCATCTATCCATTGCATTAGCCATCATCTGGAGAAGGTGTTGGCCAGTGGAAGAATGGTGGAAGAACAACACCCCCCCCCCCCACCAACACCCCCCCCCCCCCCAAGCACCAAGAAGACAGAGCATCATTCCCCCAGATATAAGAACCTAAGAGAAGCCATTTTGGGTCAGGCCAATGGCCCATCCAACATTCTGTGTCACAGTGGCCAAAAATACCAGGTGTCATCAGGAGGCCCACTAGCGAGGCCAGAACTCCAGAAGCCCCCCCCACACACTGTTGTCGCCCAAGCACCACGAAGACAGAGCATCACTGCCCCAGACAGGTTGCCAGCTCTCCATACACTGATTCAGCCCTAACTGGTCTAAACCAGGGCTATTTTTGGGCAGGAACGCACAGGAACGGAGTTCCGGCTGGCTCCCGAGTCGGCCACGCCCAGCAGGAACGCATTAGCATAATAGGCCACACCCAACAGCAGAAACTCATTAGGATTGGCTACATTTGGGGTGTGTGGCCTAACATGCAAAGGAGTTCCTGCTACAAAAAAAAGGCCCTGGGTTTTGACAACAAACAAGGTAAACAGAATAACAAGCAAAAGGTGGGTGTGGCTGGATAACCACACTTCTGGTAACGTGGGGGTGCGGCCTAATGAGCTGTGCTGTCAGGGGTGTGGCCCAATATGCTAATGAGTTCCTGCTGTTGGGTGTGGCCTATTATGCTAATGAGTGCCTGCTGGGCTTTTTCTACAAAAAGAGCCCTGGAACCATTTAGTTCCTGGGGGTTATGTAGACAGATGGAAGAGGAAGGAAACGGTACAAGAGAGAAGGATGGAGAGAGGAAAAACTGATAAGCTGAGATGGGAAGGGCATCTAAGCCATAGGGAACCACAAAAAATCTTGCAGAACTTCCAATGAGGAAGACATTCTGGCATTGCTTCTTATGAGCCTAAACCCACTTCGGCAGATGCATGAAATGTTACACTTTGCGCATATAGATACACGCAAATCTGTGAACATCAGAAGGGCAGAGGTAAAAGCAGGTATGGAGAGAAAACTACACACAAAGGGGTATCACTTCACAGAACTCTTTAAGAAAACTGGGATCTAGACAAAAGAAGGAACAATCTAATGGGCGGCTGGGTTCCTCTCCCAACTGCTGAGGAAGTAGCAAAGTAGGATGAATGAGAATAGCATACAAAGCCCATCAAGAGGAATAACTGCTTTCTGAACAAGCTAGCCACCCACAATCCCTGTCAACTCCAAGCCTGATAGTGTCCAATCCCAACAGTACCATCTCAGCAGGACAAAGAATTGCCATCTTTAACTCCATCCAGGAATGCCCAAGGAGGCTAAAACGCCCCTCCTCACTGGTTTCCATTTTTAAGGTGGGATTTGTGTCCACACTGCTGCCCAAATACCACAGCTTAGTTGTAGCGAATCAGGGCTTGAGTTGAGCATGGTCAGTACTTGAATGGGAGGCCACCAGTGAAGTCTGGGGTTGTTACACAGACACGGGTAATGGGGAAAAGTCAACTGCAACTCAATGGCATGTCCAAATCTAGGAGAAACGGAAGTCCTAGAGTGGCACAAGATGGTGGGTGTTCTAGGACTTCAGTTTCTCCTGTTGTGGTAACATCCCAGCTAAGCTCCCTCTCTTCCCCAAACTCTGCCCCCCCCTAAGACATCATCCCCAAATCTCCAGTAATGTTCCAAGGCATGGAGCCCTGTCCACAAAATCTAGCTCACAGAGGCCACCTTTTCCAGCCCCCTCCACTTCTCGCTACCCTTCTGTAGCATAACAATGGACCACCCGATGAATACAGAGAAGCAGAGACTAGAGGAGAGTCTCCAACCAACTGCAGTGCAAGTTCTGTTCCTGGATAATATCATTGTTCTCCCCAGTATCTGCTTTCTGTGCTTGTTTCAGCTTTGTGCAATCCCAGGCCTTTCTTATTCCTTATTAGATGTCTCATCCCATTGACTGCCTCCCAAAATACTAGAACTCGAGGGCATCCAGTGAAGCTTATTGGCAGTAGGTTCAGGACAGACAAAAGGAAATAATACTTTACACAGAGAGTGATTAAAATGTGGGATTCGCTGCCAGAGGACGTAGTGATGGCCACAGAAATAAACATCTTGAAAAGAGGAGTAGATAGATTAATGGAGGATAAGTCTATCTATAGCTACTAGCTCTGGTGACTGAAGGGAACCTTCACATCCAGAGGCACTAAGCCTCTGAATCCCAGAGCCAGGAGACAACATCAAGGGAAGGCCTCAGCCTCTGTTCCCTGTGGCTGGCCCTCCAGAGGAACTGGTTAGCCTCTGTGTGAGACAGGATGCTGGAATGGATGGACTACTGGTCTGATCCAGCACAGCTCTTCTTATGTTCTTATGAAGGCCTCGGCCTCTCTGCCCTATTGTCAGCTGTCCAGAGGCATTGGTTGGCCACTGTGTCAGACAGGATGCCAGACCAGATGGACCATTGGTCTGACCCAGCAGGGCTTTTCTCCTTATGAGAACATCAATTGAGCAGATATTTATTTTGTTTTACTATTTTTGTAGTCCACCTTTCTCACAAAGATGCAAGGCAGACTACGCAATCTAAGCCAATGCAATCTATAGGAACAGACATCTAATAAGCAATGTGACAGAACTAAGACTGCAGAAATCTGAAACAAGCAGAGATTATTAGATGTGAGTCAGAAGGCGGATATTGTGCAAAAAGTTTGTATATGTGAACTGAATTGGTACTACAGTTTGTTGCGGGTTCACATCTATTCCCTGCATCTCTATATCCATTTGGTGGTTCATTGTTACAGTATAGAAGGGTGGGGGGAATGGGAGCAGGGTAGAAAAGGCAGCCCCTGTGAGGGAAGAAAGGATATAAATGTTGTAAAATAAAAATAAATAAAAGGGGCCCTGAGGATTCCTGGGATTGGTGTGGATAATAATGGCTGCAACCCTAAGAACACTACTGTGGGCCTAAGCCTCACTGACTAAAATTGGACTTACTTCTGAGTAGACCCGCTTACAATATACATAGTGTGGCAGCACAATATCTGTCATTCCAAACCTTTACAGATAAAGACCACCATTCTACAAACCAGGATTCTGCTTTTTTTGCACAAAGTCAATATAGGATGTGTCGCTTTCCTTGAAGCAGCCGTTCCCAAACAGCCTGTGTTGCTTTCAGTGAAGTAGCCAAGTTCCAAAGTGCATAGAAGCGTTCCTCTACAGGAAAGGAGATCTCTTTCCACTTTAAAAATATTGTAAACTTTAGCTACTGGGGGGGGAAATTCCTAACAACCTCAAAGTTATTTCCCCCAACAATATTTTCCAAATTTGTTGTTCAGTCACACAGTCGAGTCCGACTCTTCGTGACCTCATGGACCAGATCACGCCAGGCCCTCCTGTCTTCCGCCGTCCTCTGAAGTTTGCTCAATGTCATGTTCGTTGCATCTATGACACTGTCTAACCATCTCATCCTTTGCTGTCCCCGTCATAGAAGAGTTTCAATAACACTTGTAATTCATTCAGGTGGGTAGCTGTTTTGGCCTGGAGCAACAGAACGAAGTTTGACCCGGAGGTCCCTTCCGACTCTATGATTCTATGAAACAACAGTGCTATCCTAGGCAGGGTTATTCCATTTTAATCCCATTACATTCATTGTGCTTAGAATGGAGTATCTCTGCATAATATTTCACTGGGACTGTTTGCAGAGTCTTCTCCCAACACCCTGAGATCAATCTTTAGTGATTAAGCAAATCTCATTTCCCATCAGAGTTCCCTCCACACTCTGAGCATTAAACTTATTTCTCTCCTGGGTATATTCTTTGATAGGGTGCAAGGCTGCAGCTTCAGTTGTAGTTCTTCTCATATTATAAACATTTAAATGGCTCCTCCTCTGATGGGAAGTAAGGCTTGATCTCCGACTGAAGGTCTTTCCACACTCCAGGCATTTATGTGGTTTCTCTCCTGTGTGAATTCTTTGATGTGACCTTAGGCCTGAGCTCTGGCTGAAACCCTTCCCACACTCCAGGCATTTATATGGTTTCTCCCCTGTGTGGATTCTTTGATGTGCAGTCAGATTTGTCTTCTTGTGGAAGCTTTTCCCACAGTCTGAGCAGTGAAATGGCTTCTCCCCCGTGTGTATTTTTTTATGAGCAGCAAGGCAGTCATTCCGAACAAAGCTTTTCCCACATTCTGAACATTTAAATGGTTTTTCCCCGGTGTGGATTCTTTGATGGCATGTTAGGTGAGAATTCTGATTGAAACTTTTCCCACACTCCAAGCAAATATAAGGTTTCTCCCCAGTGTGGATTCTTTGATGGTTAATAAGACTTGACTTCACTGTGAAGCCCTTTCCACATTCTTTGCAGACATGGGGCTTTTCTCCCCTGTGTCTTCTCTGATGGGAAATAAGGCATTCATTCCAACTGAAGCTCTTTCCACATTCAGAGCAAACATACGGTTTCTCTCCTGTATGGATTCTTCGATGGTTGATCAGGCTTGACTTCATTATGAAATGCTTCCCACACTCTGAGCAAGTATGGGGTTTCTCTCCCGTGTGGATTTTTTGATGGTTAATAAGGCTTGACTTCAACATGAAGCTCTTTCCACATTCTGAGCAAGCGTAGGGTTTTTCCCCTGTGTGTGTTCTCTGATGGTTCATTAGATTTGACTTTGCCATGAAGCCCTTTCCACATTCTGAGCAAGTATAGGGTTTCTCCCCTGTGTGCATCCTTTGATGTATAACTAAGCCAATCCTCTGACAGAAGCTTTTTGCACAGTGGGTGCATTTAAATGGCTTCTCTCTTGTGTGCGTGTGTTGGTGAGAAATGAGGTGATGGCTCCAGCTGAAGCTCTTTTCACACAACAAGCATTTGTGTGGTTTCTTACCAATGTGTGTTTTCTGGTGGGAAGTCAGGTTAGAACTCTGACTGAAGCTTTTCCCACATTGCAAGCATTTGTACGGCTTCTCCCCTGTGTGGATTCTTTGATGGGAAGTGAGGTCAGTACTTTGATTGAAGCTCTTTCCACACTCCAGGCATTTGTATGGTTTCTCCCCTGTATGGATTCTTTGATGGGAAATAAGATTGTGACGCCATGTGAAGCTTTTCCCACACAGCATGCATTTAAAAGGCTTCTCCCCTGTGTGTATTCTTTGATGGGACATAAGATTGTGGCTCCATGCAAAGTTCTTTCCACACTGCAAACATTTAAAGGGCTTCTCCCCTGTGTGGATTCTTTGGTGGGAAATAAGGCTAGAGCTCTGACTGAATCTCTTTCCACACTGCAAGCACTTATAGGGTTTCTCCCCGGTGTGGGTCCTTTGGTGCATCATTAGATTCGACCTCTGGTGGTAGCTTTTCCCACACAGTGAGCATTTGTGTGGTTTTTCCTGTGTGTAGATTCTTTGATGGGAAGTAAGTATTGTATTCCTGTTGAAGCCCTTTCTAGACACCAAGCATTCATATGGCTTCTCTCCCATACCTCTTACCCTATAAGCATCTGTATTTAGTTTACCTCTGAAGCTTTCCCCACCAAAAATGTTCCTTCTCTTTTCCCTGTCCTTTATTTATTCCTAGTTGGATCTGGATTTCACCAGCCTGGCTAACATTGGATTCGTTCTCTCTCTTCTCCTTTCCTTCACTTTTTTCCTCTTGTTCTGTCCCTTTTTGACATCTGGTTCTTTCCAATGACGGTCCTTGTGTTCCTTTCTGGGTTTCACTCGCCCACCTGACACCTATTAAAATAAAGACAGCAAAAAGTAGACAGAGTATTTCAAATTGCAGGAAACGCTGACCAGCTTTTGTTTTGAAGAACAGAACAGAATTTAAGGGTAAGAAGATCCTGCCACTATTAAAAAGTCTCTATTGGTTATCCTTAACTGACAGCCCAGGTAGAAAAAATGGGGTTTGGCATAATTCTCTAGCTGAGGCATAAAGCCCAACCACTCAGAGACAGGCAGAGGCAGGCAGACACAAGCAGAGAATCCACTTCATTCCCCCTTGTATGCCCTTCCCCCACACTACCTCTTCTTTCTCTCCTCCTGGCAGCTCCTGTGTCTTCTCCCCTTCCCCTGCTTCCTTCTCCCCTTCCTTCTCTTCACAAATCTCACCATAAGTCACGGTTCAGCTTCTGGTATCATTCTGCACATTGTGTAAGACAGAATTGCTTAGGAGGGCATTTTTATAAAGGGAAACAGCTGTCCCGCTGTTTATTGCATGCATTATCTTATGGCATTTTCTTCTAATTTTTTAATTCCATTCTCAGCATTGCTTATGGTATTTCATGTCTTATATAAATATTTGCATTGCTTTCTAATTTTTTCCCCCAGAAGGTCGCCATGTTGGTCTGCGCTAGAACAGCTAGATTCTAATCCAGGAGCACCTTAGACAATAACAAACCCCGAGCCCTGCTTGCCAAGTCCGAGGCACTCCGACCCAGTTCTGACGAAGGTTCAAAGGTCAAGTGAAATGAGAGGGGACCACAGAAAGTCCCAAATCATGGGAGGACTATGAATTCACTTGGTCAGCCTATGAAAAGAGAAAACCTTACCTACGAAAGCCACATTCCGGTAGATCTCTTCCATTACTTCCATATATAGCGCCCTTTGGCCCAGATCCAGCAGCACCCACTCCTCCTCAGAGAAATACACGGCCACTTTCTCAAAGGAGATCACACCCTGAAAGGACAAAGATGCATCTCTGAAGAGGTGTGTGTGTGCGCACGAAAGCTTATACCCAGAATAAAACATTGTTGATCTTCCGGATCACGTCTTATCTGCAACTGAACGAACCCTCGTCGGCTGTGAATGTGTGCAATTTAAGATGTATATATGTTGTCCTCCCTTACCCCACAAAGCATTGTCAGTCCCTCGTGAAAAATGAGTAACTGTAAATCGCTCAGAGCCAGCAAGCTCTGCAGGATTGAGCGATCAATAAATGGAAAGATTTATTATTATTATTATTATTATTATTATTATTATTATTATTATTGTTGTTGTTGTTGTTGTTGTTGTTAATAATAATAATAATAATGTTAACTTTGTTCTGCGGCTTCAGACCAACACGGCCGCCCACCTGAATCTGTCCTCACGGATAACCTAACAGTCGTTCCCTTTCCAAGAAGGACTCAAAAATATTGTTGAGATTGAGCAGAAATGGCAAGCCTATAACTCATATTATGGGAGTAGTTAAATTTCTTGAAAAGGTTTGAATTTATCTGAATATTACATAAAAGGTGAGGATGATATTGATTACCGTTTCAATCTCTTTATTTAATACTCCGTTAAGTATTTAAGATATTTAGTAAAAATAAGGCTTGTGATAAATGATTAAGAACACCCAGGTTTTAAGGATGGTTTAAACATAGAGTAGAAATCTGTTGAATTCTTAAAGATGTAATCTCATTCATTTTTAATTAGTTGTTGTAGATTCTCCAGGCTGTATGGCCGTGGTCTTGGCATTGTAAGGCCTAACATCTCGCCAGCAGCTGTGACTGGCATCCTCAGAGGTATAATACAGAATGATGTACTCGCTGTGTCAAGGTTCTACAAGGTCTCTTTGTGTCAGGTCCTACAATGCCAAGACCACGGTCATACAGCCCGGAAAATCTACAACAACTAATGAACCCCGGCCCTGAAAGCTTTCGACATCATTTATTTTTATTAGACTATCACTGAATATAGACTATCACTGAATATTTGGTTTCTTACTTCAAAGAGAGAACTTACTCCTGAATACTGTAACAATGATGCTTTTTATTTCCTGCTTCTATATTTGAACAGTGTATTTTTATTAATACAGCTGATTCTACTCATTGTACACAGCTATTCATGATAACTTTGCATGGATGTACACTTTCCCTTACCTTTTCCCCCTTTTGGATCCCACTTTTTTCTTTTTTAAATAAAACATGTTAACCGAGGGGGGAAATACTGTTGAGGGGAAGACAGCCCCTGCAGCATTCAAACCTTCCCAGGTGGGCATTCACAGCCTTCTTTGTGGGCACCTCTGATAAACTGAGGGGAAGAGACGACTAAGGGAAGAAGAGCCCCTTTCAGGCACAGGAAAAGGCACAGGGATGAGGAGAGGCACCCTGTCGGTCTTCCTGAGTATCCCTCCCTCACCTGCTCTGACTGCACAAAAGAGGTTTTCTCTCCATCACGAAGGAAATGCAACCTTGGACAGATCCCTGGTGTGTTTCCATCACCTGTGGGGAACACAAAAGAGGTGGGAAGATCTTTCGACTTGTTATATAAAATGTTTTCGATTTCCTTATGTGTAAAAAAAAACCCCTCCTTATGTCATTTCTCAGCCGTAACTCGTCCTCGGAAAAGGATATTACAGCACTGGAAAAGGTGCTGAAAAGGGCAACTAAAATTATTAGGGGAATGGAACACATTCCAGGTTTGATTTCCTACTCCTCCACTTGCAGCTGGTGGATGACCTTGGGCAAGCTATAGTTCTGACAGGAGCTGTCCTTGAAAGGGCAGTTCTGGAAAGAGCTCTCTCAGCCCCGCCTACCTCACAGGGTGTCTGTTGTGGGGAGGAGAAGGGAAAGGAGCTTGTAAGCCGCTTTGAGACTCCGATTGAAGGGTGGGGTATAAATCCAATCTCCTCCTCCTCTTTCCTCCTCCCTATAAAGAGCTTTGGGCTCTTTAGCTTAAGAAAGGATGACTGAGGGGTGAGATGATAGAGATTTACAAAGTTATGCATGGGACAGAGAAGGTGGAGAAAGAACTACTTTTCTCCCTTTCTAGCTATACAAGAGCTTGTGAGCACGCAATGAAATTAAGGAGCAGTAGGCCTAGAACAGATTGAAGGAAGTCCTGCCTCTTGTTTATTTTAAGCATCTTTTGCAAAGACAGCCACTGGGGTTTGCTTGTTCAAGGTGTACAAAATTATGTATGAGACAGAGCAGGTAGAGAAATAAGTACTTTTCTCCCTTTCTCACAATATGAGAACTTGTGGGCACTCAGTGAAATTGCTGAGCAGTCAGGTTAGAACGGATAATTAATTAATAAAAGGAAGTACTTCTTCATCCAAAGAGCGATTAACACATTGAATTCACTGCCACAGGAGGTGGTGTATTGCCATCATGATTATCTGGACCCCACCAGGGGAGCGAGGTGACCGGGCAAGGATTGGATGACAAGATCTTAGGAAGTTACCATGGAGGTTAAGATCTACCCATCTTGGCTAAATTTGTATTGTAAATGTGTTACTGTATTTTATTGTAATTTATTGTTTTATATTATATATTTTATTGTTATAACCTTGGCACAGGGTGCCCTTGTTAGCCGCCCTGAGCCTCCAGGGTAGGGCGGGATATAAATCCAAACATAAATAAATAAATAAATAAATAAATATACAAGCAGGGATGACTCCCTCTGTACCCATTGCTGTGACTCCTGAGTCGTCCTCCTGTCCGGTCCCCTTCGACAGCAATCTGTCGTCCTTCTCTGCCTCAAGGAATGGCCTCAGCACCTGAAACAGAAGCAGGCATCTGTCAGCTAGCTGACATATCTGTGTTGTCTACCCTCCCCTCTTTCCGCTTTGCTTGCAGCTCAGCAGCTTGCCGTAAACATGCCAGGGAGCCGTGGGAACTAGACGCTGTTATCAGTCTGGCCTTGTGCATTAGGGAGGGCTTGGGGTCCACCTTTGGTGTGAATTTTTCTGCTCTCAGGAAACCATGGGACTCTCCCACTCATTATGTCATCTCCCGCCGGGTGTTTGCCCGCGTGTGCGCTCGAAGTTCATTTCCTTAGCTAATGGCCTTGCCCAGCTATATGTATTGGAATGTTGCCGCCCTCTAGTTCTTCCTAACAATAATCCTGTGGACATGGTACCAGTCTTGTACACTAATAAACATAACACTTCAGGAGAAACGTGTGTGGAAAGTTACTTGCTGTGGAACCTGACAGCATCCAAGGCGCAGATTAGAAAATGAGTGGGCTCAGCCAGCATACTGTAATACTGTAATCAGGGCTCTTTTTGTAGAAAAAGCCCAGCAGGAGCTCATTAGCATAATAGGCCACACCCAACAGCAGAAACTCATTAGCATATTAGGCCATACCCTATTAGCCCATTAGGCCGCACCCCCATGTTACCAGAAGTGTGGTTATCCAGCCACACCCACCTTTTGCTTGTTATTCTGTTTACTTTGTCTGTTGTCAAAACCCAGGGCCTTTTTTTGTAGCAGGGACTCCTTTGCATGTTAGGCCACACACCCCTAATGTAGCCAATCCTAATGAGTTTCTGCTGTTGGGTGTGGCCTATTATGCTAATGAGTTCCTGCTGGGCGTGGCCAACTCAGGAGCCAGCCGGAACTCCGTTCCTGCGCGTTCCTGCCCAAAAATAGCCCTGCTGTAAGTGGTTAGATCATCGGACTAGGATCTGGCGGTTCCGGAGGGGTAACTGTTGTTAGTCTATACTAGCAAAATGAAACAGAAGTCCAGTGGCACCTTAAAGACTAATAACGTTTATTCCATGAAGATAGATTCAGGTGGGTCACCATGTTGGTCTGAAGCAATAGAACAAAGTCTTAGTCCAGTGGCACCTTTCACACCAACCAAGTTTAATTCTGGTGATAAGTGTACATACACAAAAGTTTGGTGTCGTGGTTAGGAGCACGGGCTCTAATCTGGGAGAACCAAGTTTGATTCCTCACCCCTCCCTCCACATTGCAGCTGCTGGAGTGACCTTGGGTCAGTCACAAACTCAGAGCTGTTCTCTCAGGAGCAGTTCTGGAAAGAGCTCCCTCAGCCCCACCTACCTCACAGGGCATCTGTTGTGGGGAGGGGGGAGGGAAAGGAGATCTCTAACGGCTTTGCCTTTACGAAATAGGTTGAGCAACAGAGTTCTCCTGGATGCATCTTATTAAAGGGTGATCTACAACCTTTAATTCTGACAATACAAGAGAATAAGGGAATGAGTACAGTTCTTTGGGTAATAACAGCAAAGCAGATAGAACGACTGCAGAAAGTCTGGTCTTTTATTGGGATGAGAAATTGTTTTCTTTAAGGAGCTGGACAGAATGAAACACAAGTATGAAAAAGTCGACCCTACAGCTACTGTGAAAATAAATGTTAAAACGATTAAAGTACCCAGCATTGCTTTTAGCAAGTAATAGTTTTAAAAGCCTATCAAATTTTAGCTGTCTGTCCCACTGGCTTTTAGGGATGACTGAAAAGCCTAATTTACCCACCAAGAAATCTCACCTATTTTTCTTCTGAGACTCCTATCCAGAAAAATCTTGTTTTCCTTGTGCATATTTATAGAGAAATATCCCTTCTTTATCTGATCTCTAAACCTTGTCTATCATAGGCTGCGGTCACACGGAGCATTAGCCACGCTACAGAGACGGAAGATAGGCGGATTTTCCGGGCGCAATTACAGCGCCACATCTGGGAAGCGTAGAGCTGCCGTGACGAACCCGAGGCTTCCCGCCGAAGATGCGGGGTAAAAAACTAGTACCTCCGAGGTACTAGTTTCCGAAAACCACGGGGCAAGGGCGGGCGCCTTGGTAGGTCGTGGCATCCGGCGCCCGCCCATGTCCTGTCGCTAAAAGCTTTTTTTTCCCCCCAAGTCTCCATGGGATGAGCACAAGCACCCAACGGCGCATGCGTGCACGCACACTTCGTTTAAAAACAAACAACACAGCCCCCTCCTCTTTTCCGTACCTCCCCACTCCTGGCTCGGCCTGCTTGAGAGGAACTCTCTGCACCGGGCGGCAGAGGGGGAGGTGGCCGGACACAGTTTGCATTCCTCTGCAGCCCTGGAAGGGGTTAAACCTGCGAGGCCTTTTGCTAGAGAGGCTGCTTCTTTGCCGCGCTGCAGGATTGTCCTGTGATCGGCACCTCCCCCCTAACCACGGGACCTCTACAGGACGTCTGATCGTGCAACCGCACATTATTTTGCTCCGGGGCAAACAGCCACGCTTCCCCCCTACATTTTCCTGCCCGTGTGACCGGGGCCTTTATCATGTGATGGAACAGAGTTTGAGTCCAGCGGCACTTTTAAGACCAACTAAGTCTTATTCTAGGTATAAGCTTCCATGATATTATTTAGTAACAGATTGAGAGATAAGCACCACAAGTACTGATTAGCTAACATAATCATGTGATATTATCTAGTTAACTGATTGTTTCTTAGCTAAATAAGAGATAAGCAGCATATGAGCTAATCTGCAGCTACATGCAAGATAGATCTGATAAAGCAAAATAAGAAGGCTAATCTCAGTTTTTAGCCTCTGTTAAAAAGCAGTTAATCTACCTTTTTTTTCCTGTAACTGGCTCAACGAACTGTCCAAGATGAAAGTCACTTGAAACAGAGTCCACAGGCCGTTTAAAAAGTGCTGGAGCGCTCGACAAGTTTGCAAACTCAGCAAGAGGATGGTTAGTGATAGCGTAGTGACTGCTGCGGCCTAACCAACCTCACAGGGCTGTTGTGAGGATAAAACGGAACCCAGGTCTGTGGTGCTGTAAGCTGCTTAAGGTCTCCACTGGGACCCAAAGGTGACGCTATAAAAACCTAAAGTAAAGTAAAGAAATAAGGGGTGGAAAGTTTTAGGATGAACCAGTCTCACCTGCCTCTCCCACTTCTTGCTCTGTGCCTGGCTGAGGAGGAAGCCTTCTGCCAGGGCCACCGCCTGGGAACTGGTCTCCGGCCCGCACTCCCTCACCCAGCTCTCCATCTCCGGGGGCAGGACGGCCAGGAACTGCTCCAGGATCACCAGATCCAGCATCTCCTTCTTGCTGTGTCTTTCTGGCTTCAGCCACTGGCGGCAAAGGCGGTGGAGTCGGCTGCAGACCTCCCGGGGCCCCTCCGCCTCCTGGTACTGAAAGCGTCTGAATTGCTGGCGCTGCACATCTGAGCTGGTGGTATCTTCCCCCAGGATTTTTCGTGCAACTCTAAGAATTCACCACTGCTCCCAGCCTGGATAACATGTAGGGTTTTTCCAGCTTTAGGGCCAGCTGATTCTGGCTCTTCCATTGTTGATCCAAGGTAGCTTGAGCTTGGTGGATAAAACGATCCCTGTGCTCTTCCGCCAAGTTTTATCAAGTCCCAAACGGTACCAGTTGTTGGATCTCTGATTTCCTGCAAAGGCAGCCCCTGGTACTGAGCATGAATTACTACCTTTTCCTCCCTCTCCCAAGATACTAGAACTTGACGGCATCCAATGGGGCCGATGGGCAGTAGGTTCAGGATGGAAAAAAGGAAATACTACTTTACACAGAGAGTGATTAAAATGTGGCATTTTGCTGCCAAATAATGTAGTGATACCCACAGGAATAAACAGCTTGAAAAACAGATTAGATTCCTAGTGGAAAAAGTCTATCAGTGGCTACTAGCCATGTTGGCTGAGGAGAACTTCACATTTAGAGGCAGTCAATCTCTGAATCCCAGAGCCAGGAGGCAACATCAGGAGAAGGCCTCGGCCTCTGTGCCCTGTTGCTGGCCCTCCAGAGGAACTGGTTGGTCACTGTGTGAGACAGGATGCTGGACTAGATGGAGTATTGGTCTGATCCAGTAGGGCTCTTCTTACGTTCTTAACCTCCACATTCAGAGGCACTAACCCAGTGAAGCCCAGAGCCAGAAGGCAACATGAGGGGAAGACCTCAGCCTCTATGCCCTGTAGCTGGTCCTCCAGAGGAACTGGTCGGCCACTGAGTGAGACAGGATGCTGGACTAGATGGACTATCGGTCTGATTCAGCAGGGCTCTTTTTATGTTCTTATGAAGGCCTCAGCCTCTCGGGCCTGTTGTTGGCCCTCCAGAGAAACTGGTTGGCCCCTCTGTGAGACAGGACGCTGGACTAGATGGACTTCTGGTCTGAT